CCGAAGCTTGCATATGCAAGTCATGATCAGCTTAGATGATGCTTCATCTAAGCTGAACGTGGCCAGCCGAAGAAGTGTCCCTGGGGAACTTGCCACCTGGTCTACAACTCCTCAGGGGTGAGTTGACTCGCGCATTGTCCACGCACGTCTTACCATGTCAGAATTTGTGGGCCGCCCCCTTTTAGTTTCTTCATCACAACCCGCTTTGGTGTATGGATTAGGTGACATGGTTTGTGTTAATAGGATTACACGTAGTTTAGTAATTTCTGCCCTGAAGAAAGTACTTTACCTTTATTGGATTAGCTCGACGGGTTTGAACACGTCTACGGGGGAGACTAGGTTTTCTTCACGTATTCGTTTTATTACTATGGTCAAAATATATGAACTGCTATATATCTTATGCCATGTCAGTGATGAACTATGATGTGTATCAGTACTATGTACATTTCCCAAACTTTCATCTACCCTGTAGTATGTATGATTAGCTGGACCGAAGTATAAAGTTAGTACTACTTTTCTCGTGCATTAATTGATCTTCGTCAATGCAAGCAAGATAAATGACGCTGTTCGAGCATGGCCATACTGACATTATTACATAACCTTTTGATTATACTCACTGCAGTGCCTTTCTCCGAGGACCAGTTTAGTATAATTCCTACAGTTGTTTTGTTTATTTTCCCTTGCTCCGGATAATTATCCCTGTATATATAGTTATGCCTAATATGCGTGGCGCGAGAAGCCCTTCCGCTGGGAATGTGAGACATGCCATAGGTAGGTAATCGGCCACAGCCACATATTATTCAGCCACTCGCAGGATAGGGATATTTCCTGGGAGATATAAACGGATGTGTTCTGTGTTATTTCCAGGAACACATTGAGGAGTGATGGGAGATAAGGATTGATCTCTGAACAGAACGAGTCCATACCGATGTTGTTGACGTCCTTTTGCTCTGCTCCCGCCAGAGCATACCAAAACTCGTTGTTATGGAATTCATGCTCGTAGGAGAGCAGCATTCTTTGGACCTTGTTTCCTGAGCCTTTAGCATAGGGACGCGACACAGTAATAACAGGTGCAATTTATCCCCCCTTGCTTCGCAAATAGCAAGGGAAAACGGAGCACTTATAAAGCAACTTATGTGTCGCTGCCACCCATGTATGTGATCGCCTGCATGACATTACCTATACTTGATTCTGTCTTCTTGCCGAACTTGATCGGTGTCCACTCCCTCGTTTTCAGACTGCCACTCATTTGATCAAATTAGCAAGATGCAGCTTACCGGTCTTTTCGCTACGGCTTTTGCCCTCCTCGCATCTACTGCCTATGCCCAGACTGGTTCCCAGGGTACTGATACTGGAAACAAGTTTTGCACAGGCCAATGTCTTCCTAAGAGTTCCGATCTTCCCTGCAGCAATCCGGAGGTAAGCACATCCTCGATGCTAGGCATAGAGTCCTCATTAACCGTTATGGCAGTGGCAAGCATCATTGGGTTGCTACATCTGCTGCCTCGATAATGATAACGCGGGTGGCTTTGCCGACAGTCTCCCTGACGATATTCTTCCTGACGACATTATTGGCGACGATGACTGAAAATAACCCACATGTCCGCCACTTTATGTCCCAGATCGGTTGCCGTGTAATCCCTATAGCGAAATTATCGGGTTTCTTGTGCTGTGGTCAAAGAAGTATCAAGAATCCGGCGTCCTGGGCATGTACATTATGTTGCAATGTGTTGTATTGATTTCGTCATAGATCAATCCTTGCTTGTATGTGTATTGTTTTCGACTCTGAAAACAAAGACCTCTCGTGCCTAAGACATGTTAATCACTGAAGACATTCCCGGTAGTGTGGGTGAATTCGCTAGATAGTTCGTAGGCGTGAGGTTTTCGACTCGGGGGCTCGTAGTTGGAAGAGTAGCGCGCGCGTTGCGTAGCCGAGACCATTGAATAACATTGACTGCAGATGGTCCTTCGACGGCACACTGCGCCCAGCACGGATGCTATCGAGCCATAAGCAATAGAAGTTCGTTCCTATTGCAATTGTATTATCACTTTCGCCTATTTTGACCCCTTGGCCTATCTTGATCTGTTTCACGCCGCGTGTCGGTTGCAGCACGCCTGGTACTGTCAGATACCTTAGGTCTTCGTTCCCGTGCCGGTCCAATCAAGTCTTAGTAGACAGAATGACATTAATGCAGCCCTAGTCACTTCAGAAAGGATGTGCTCCCGCGACGCATCTGGTCAAGCATTTTCTCATCCACTCTGCATTGTATTGTATCCTAGCTCTTCACACCCCAACGCTGACAATATATCATGATTTGTGCGTTGCGATCGTGCCCAAGCAACGTCGTTCGCCGGTGCTAATTGAACCTAAGGGGTTTATCGGTCGTTAGACAGTGATTCCTGCTACTGCCGGCGTCAACATCAATATGATCTCCTTGTATCTGAGGATAGAGGCTATGAATGCCGACCAATCGCCGCCGGATTTGGGTTATGCAGCGGGTAGATTGTGCACTGAGCAACGTCGTTGTTCGCATTGAGCAGAATTGCTGTTGGCTTGTTGGTAGAAGCCAGCATTCAGCCTATCGTAGCATAATTTCCCTTCCAAGTACATGTCTCGTCCTTTAAATCTAGGCATTCATTCTACCATCTGTCTTGTTCATTGATGACATGCAGCAAAATATGCACCTGTTCCTGTCATTGCCGACCATGGGACATACCCGGCCGAGTGGATCAATCTGTGTAACTAGCCTCGAGAGTTGACGGCGTATGACCCCATAGTGATACAACTGCAGATGTAGGTATTCAAGGTATCTCAATCTCTCGTATTGTCGAAGTCATGGGTGATTGGTTCTGCCGAAGTATGTCGTTCGAAGGAAAGTGGGATTTGGCACATCTGGTCTGCGGGCTCTCCGGCTCTTCGTCAGCGGTAGGTTAGCAAGAATCCAAGAATAGCATCGTCTTGGACACGGAGCGAGAGGTAGACACAGCATCTAATCCCATGGGTAGCGATAAGTATATCTGCTGAAAGACACTTGTTCTTGACCAGGCATTCTGTGGCCTTCATAGGACGAGGTGGAGTCTTCGAACAGCTTCATAACTATTGAATAATCCAGGCTGTCTCGTGTCCAGGCAAGTCAGGGATAAGTTCTCCTGTGTGGTAACAGAATCTGAAGCATTCTACTCTCATAGAAGCCACTTTCGAGCCTGCAGTACGTTCCATCAAGTTTTTCAAAGGGCGCAACAGGGCAGACGAGGTCGGAATATCGTGAGGCATAAGAAGTACTTCGACTCCCACGTATTGACGGGAACAGGAAGGAAAATCCTCGGAACCTAGCTCTTTTCTGATAGATGAGGACAACCTGGAGCCCGAACAAGGAGGTCTGGGAGGGGGCTAGGAGAGCAGAAGGTGGAATTTCTGAAGCAAACGTAGTCGATGGATGGGGGAGACGGATGCATAAACGAGATGCAAAGGACAAGGAAACCTTGATGTTCAGTATTCTGATGCTCATTCGATGCGGAATTTGACATCGGGCTGATGACAGGATGGAAAGAAAGAAACAACGGGACGCTCGTAAGATTCAGTTGACGGGGGATGGATGGAAATCATTTCCGGCTGGCAGGACAAATGTGCTTGCCGTTCCAGGAAAGCTCGCCAAACTAACCTTGGTACCTTAGCTCTGTTGCGCTTGCTACTAGCATTCAACAAATGAATCTGCTCTATTTACGAGTTCCTTTATGATACGAGGTTCGCTTCAAGTTGCCGAATCTAGGCATTTGAGAATCTCAGGCTGCAGTAGAAGAGGAGAATCTGGGTTTCCGATGAACTCATCTTGCAAGATTGTACCCCTATTTTTGAGTTTCCAAGAATGCTCTAATGCTAAAGCATCCTTCTATGAGCTGACTATTCATCTCTCAAGAGTTGGATTCTTCAACGCAGGTCGTTAGCAGACATTCAGAGACGAAGAAGACTGATAGGCTGAAGATACTACTTAACATCGCTGAGTGGATAATGGCATTTCTGGGTCCTCACAAGAGGGTTAACCCGCACCAGAAGATGCACCAGTTGCAGACACCCTGCAGCTATATAAACCCATGTCTAGTGCTTGGCTGACAGCTTCATCGCCTCTCCTAAGTTCTTTTGCTCTTTTGCCACCAAAATCTTGTCGTTGTGAGGTCCAACGAATGTAAGCGTATATATCCCGCAAATTGAAGTATACTGGTATGAAAACGGGGCACATCCAGGGACAGGAATCTACTCCGGGCTATGATGCTCAAAAGCTATGCTATAGTACACATCAGGAGCAGAGAGAATGTTGGGGAGCAGGCGTTCATTACTTAGTAGGTGAACTGCATGTTATTAGTTTGTATGACCTGCACGGCATTATGTTGTAGCTTATTCGCTAAATAAGCTTTTTGTATGATTCATGTATAGCATTAGGATGCTGCGAGCAATTATCCTCTCTTTGCTGGCTGTTACTTGCCACTCGTTGAATGCATAACGTTATACATCATTGTATGTATGTGCTTAGTCAGTTATACTTCACAATACAGGGCGCTCGGCAGTGGCTCGGCAGTACGGTTAGTCTTTGACAGCAGCTAATTAACCTTGTACACACTATGGGTACCCCATGGTCGGTCTAGTGGTAGATCACAAGTTGTTAGGTAGATTGTCCAATAAATAACCGAGTCTTGTTCAGTTCTATATAGAAACACCCGCTCATCTATACATATGCGCAAAGTCCGTGTGGTATTAAGAATCTATTTAAGCATCCGCTATGTGCTCAATGTCCAAAAGGAAGGTGCCGCTTCCACGCCTATCATCCATCGCTTCGTAGTACTCATGCTGGCTCTAATGCATTCGTTGTGTTTTTCCCGCTCAATATTTGCATACACCAAAATGACTGACAATAGAAACCAAAAGAAAAAGAAAAAATCAAGATAATGCCTTGAGACTAGCCCTTTCCATGACCCACATGCACGACATCTGAGCGCTTGCAATTTCGACTAATGATTGTAAACTCAGTCAATTTGGAAAGCGTCAGAATCGTGACGGTATGATCACAGAGTCTCCTCCAGGGAACGGGCAGGTATATCAGAGGTCGGCGAATCCAAGGCCGTCTTCAGGGTGGGCGTCTTTTCACTGGGCTTCTCATCCCATAGCGCACTACTGGCGGGGAAGATCGACCCATCGTTGGAGATGTTAACAGCAGGGGCATCTTCCACGCTCACATGCACATGAGGCACTACCAAGTCGAGCCCTTTCGAGGCGCTTGGGCAACCAGACATCTGGGGCTTGTGCCGAGGGGGCAGTGGACGATAGGCCGAGTCATGCATATAGCTCATATAGTCCGACCCGTTGCTGCTCACCGACGATGCAGCTGTGGACGGCGTGTGCATCAGTGGCGGAACAGACCCCGTAGCACTCCAAAGTGCCGACAAGCTGGTCGAACTGCGGTGATCAAACCGAGGGCGCCTGACCGGCATCATAGTTTCATCACGATGAAACTGGGAGAGGTAATTCCAAGCCTCTGATGACGCCAGAGAACTGGCACCGGATCCCATAGGTATCACTGGCTTCCATTCGGATGGATCCTGATCCGTCTTGGCATCATTCCATTCGCTGGGTATCCTGGAGATTGAGGATCTGGCGGCACCTTTCGTGGGAGTCATGGGTGCTACAATCATTCGAGGAGACATAGGAGGAGAGGCAGGTGGAGTTGTTGAGGAAGACATGGAGGAGTTTGATGAGAAGGAAGCTGAAAGTGGTTTGTGGGAGTCTTTGCGGCGACAGCTGCAGAGATAATGTGTTAGAAGAAAATTATTGAATGGAAAGAGATATCAATGAGACAAAGAAAGGGCTAGGGGGAACTGGTTGGAATTTAAACCAACAGTGGAGGCTGTGCACGTCAAGGCTGTGGCGCGATAAGGAGTCTCATACCTTTCGCTACAATATAAGAGGGAATTGTCAGGCACTGTTATCTGCTTCTCGCACATGGCGCTGTAGATCGGTTAGCTTCGATTCTGGAGATAAGCGATCATTTGATATGCAAGGGGAATAAGCGACAAAGTTAACGGGGATGTGCGAGGATTGGCAAAAGCAACCATGCTGGAGAGAAGGCAGGGCAGCAGATACTGAGATGTAGCATAACACACATACCAAAAGTTGAGAAAGCTAGCCGCCATCTCGGGCTGCCGGTCGTCGTCCAACTCTAACTGCTTGGTGACTTGTCCAGAGCCTAGTTTGGATATAGAGTGGTTGACAAAGGATGTGCCTCTCCGATGTAAAGCCGGCCGTGAGTTCCTCAGCTTAGGGACATTGGAGCCCGAGGAAGTGCGGCGATGGTGGTTATTGCTTTGAGTCATGGATGGCGGTGAGGATCTGGTTAAGTATAAATATGACACCGGTCCAAAAGAAAAACCATCTATCTGAAAATAATTCGGCGATGGTACCTTGCGCCGAACCGCGCCAGTTGTGGAGCACGAGAGCTTGCCCCCTATGGGGTCAGAAAGTATGAGGGATTTGCGTCTAGCAGGGATCCAACTGCACAATTGGTTGGACCAATGGCCTCGCACGGTAGTACTGAATGATATAGTTTCGTAATAATGCCTCAGTCCTCGTTCAGCCGAAATGGCATGTGCCGAATGAATCGAGCTGAAACGGCAAGGGAATACACGCCTGAGTGGTTTCTTATTTTTGAGAAAACCCTGGCAATGAGAGGCAAATATGTAGCGGGCGAACGCCAAATTCTTTGCAATGACAGTAACAACGATAAGCTTTTTTCTTTTCTGCTCTGTGTGTATCTGCTGTGGTACCAGAATTGGTCAGATAGGTCACAAATGAAACCAGTCTCACTAGTAGTACTAGTACTAGAACGTTGGTGGCCCGGCTGAGGGAGCGTTATCACCGGCCTCTGAGTGGGGAGAGATAAGGGACAACAAAGTAACAAACGGGTAATCGACAAACGAAAGGGAAAAAAAAAAATCGTAAAGGATAAATATAGCTAGGAAGGGAGACATACATACCAAAGGAATGGCAGTGTATTCTGTTTCCCCCTTTCTGCGATTTAAATCCCTCTTTGTTTTCTTCTTGGTTTGGCCCCTTTCTTATAAACCAGTGTGCCGTCTTCTCCAAGGTACACCGCACGTGCAATGGGCCTGATACCGAAAAGGGCGGGTGTAAGTAATGCTAAGCGGGATTATTGACCGGCGGTGATGAGAGAGAGTATCGTGCAGCCGACTAGAAAGCAGAAAAATCGCTCGGAGAATAACTAGGCGATACTGAAAGAGGGATACCGAAGGGAGCACCAGATCACAGGCGCCGGGACGGTCAATCAATTGTATAAGAATAGCCTAAGAGTAATCGAAAGGTCTTCCTGTTGTGGTAGTCGAAAAGTGTCAAGGCTGTTTGCGTCTCACGATAAGAACACCAAAGAGAGAGAAAGCGAACAGCCCGATAGATATAACCAGAGCCGGAAAATCGATTCAAGCAACAGAAATTCTAGAACTTTGTTCCACCTACATGGGGAGAGCATGATGGGGGGATTAGGTTAGCCTTGGTTTCTCTTCACATCCCCAGGTGTGCCTCCATTCGGCCCATTACTAGTTACCGTGACCACCCTGGGTGACGCCCGAGCACGTCAGGCCCGGGAGGGAAGGCGAGACTCAAGTTGAGTCACGCCATGATTGGGCTGGGGAAGGGAGTTCTAGACTGCCGGACTGCCGTGTGCCGCCTGCCTCAGGCAGCACAACGCGCAATCGTCCGTCTGAATGGGGAAGGCACACAACAGATTCGGCTTACCTCACCACCCATAGATGATCTAATCCACTCCGCGTACGGAGTATATGACTGGGGAACGTTGCAATGCTCCGCCGGAACGACTCTTTTTTGACTTCTCCTTGTGGACTGACTGGCTATATTTAGCTGTCACTCTGGATCCGGTGGGGAGTGTATAGCGGATGGAAGACGAAGCACACAGAAAGAATTTTTTCGTCCTCTCCGAATCCGTTGTTTCCTCTCGTTGCTCTTATATGGTACTTCTGCGTAAGTACTGCGATGTTCTACTAGTAGTGTTCGGGAGTCTTTTCTATGTCCAGGCGGGGTACCCATCGCGATAAGGTAACCATTAGTTGCCGCGTCCAGCTTGTGCAGAGACCGGAACGATAAAAGCCCTTCCCATTGCCCCTCAAATCCTCATTTGGCTTTCCTTGAGATTCCGATATTTTATTTTTCCCTTAACCGACCGAACCACGCTTATCGGGTGAAGGAACACTACCATGCTCTCAACCATTCGTCGCATGCGAATGACATGTCGTCGTCTTGGCTTGGCTGGATCTCTGCTACGCGGGGCTCTTGAGGTCTGATCATCACTGCCGACCAGCCCAGTTTGTCACCTCAAATCGGGCAGCCATCGTCAACACAGAGCGTCAGCTGTAAAACACCCCAGCTCCACATCTGCTGGTCTAGACAGTGCCTTGGTGGCCGGACTCAAGGGGAACCAACCAATACTTAACGTACAGGCTTACACATGGACTGTTTCTCCATCCAGAGCCCAGTACTATTCTGCAGTGCCCCCCCCCCCCCCCCCCCCCCTTAGTTGGATCTGTGCGGCAGGATCACCCGCCGTTAGATCCAATGAGTGAGCCCTATCGCAGTGCGGAAGCAGTGATTCGGAACTGGACGCCAGGGAGGCAGTTAACCTTGGCTACTAGCAAACAAGGAAATGCCGACCCGGATCAATTCTATGGCTTTCTGTCATTTCGGGATGGCCTATATTATGTGACGCCATAAATGCCTCGAGTAGTAGTTTTACTTTTTCCTTAAACTAGCCTGTAATCGAGAGAGAGGCAAAAGAGGAGAAGGGGAGGAACTAGGCAGCAAGAAGAAACGGCGAAGCCGATAGTAGCCTGCTCAGGTGGCTACCGCCATGAGGCGAAGCAAAGCCGTGATGGACAGAAATAGATGAGACAATTCTCTGGGGCGAAACAAAAATATTCCATCCATATTTCGGCAGTCCCACACGGCAGCAGAGGTTTAAACAAAGGTCTACTATAATGTCATCAGTGATTGCAACGTTCGAATCAGTCTATGATGCTAGTAACTGGGGATGGAGCCATAATAGTGGGGCAATGTCACAGACTGACTGACAACCACAGCGCAGATTATTTTTACTAGTGCACACCAATTATCCGGAGAACACCTATTGGAAACTGGCAGATAATTGGTTTGGTACAGACTGGTGAATAATGCATTCTGCATTTGTAGAAAACAACAGAAGTTGACACGTTCTCGATCGTCCTGTGGATCAAACTTCTTCATCCATTAGCAAATAGTTATACATCCGACGTTGAGATTGGATGTTACTAACTCGATGACGGATGGGGATTCCCACCCACTCGTTCCAGGGATCGTCCCCCTTTTCGGCTTTACCGCAACACATCATTTGAACTGGATATTCTGGATCTAGGGCTCCATAATCTGATAGGCACACACGTCCACATTTCAGTGTCTCGACCATAGCGGTGTGTCTGGACTAGTATCAACAGAGCAAAAAGGATCGTCCATTCTCTCCCCTCAAGGTCAAGTCCTCTTAGCTGACGTTTCTCTTTCGAATGTCTAGAACTAGGATCCAGGTGAAGATTGTAATTTCCCATATTGCGTACACGTTTACGGAGTATCACAAGTCCAACTGTCTGTTCAATCTGGCCTGTTGCCTTTCTGTGCTTCCCTGGCCCCATGGATACTTTCCTACATGCGGGGCAGGCGTTGTGTCCCCTCCGAAGCCTGTACAATGATGTATCTACTCTACCCAACAACTGCACGTTTCACGGGTCATTCATACGAATCGAAATAAGTCGACTAACTCAACGGGAGTAGAGTGATACCCTCACAATGCGGTCGTCGTCCCTGCCTTGATTTAAACCGAATCATTCGATTTAAGGCCTATCACACGTTCTCCTCCATCTTGTTAATCACCGTCACATGCGAGATTACCGCATCAAGGATGATAGGAGTAGATATCCTACTTGCACGCGGACACCCTTCAATCCCCCTTATCTCTTATTATCAAATATGGAGAATCTTATAACGTAGCTACTCCCATTATTCAAGGTTTCTACACCGCAACTTCCTGCAACTTAAAAACCTGATCGAGTCAAGGACAAGAAGTTCATTAGCGTTGAAGGCTGATTAGAACCCACGGACTCGAAAGAGGGGTAAGCATATAGATAAAGCTTACTCCGTGTGTATTGTACATGTCTTTCTACCAAACTATTAGGAAGGTAGATGGAAAGGCTTACTGTATGTTTACCATAAGGGTAAAGTTATGGTAGTGAGGTATACTAAGTACCAAGTATCATACTTGTGTAGTAGGTAATTCGACCATCTTGTCCCACCTCTGAAAGCTACAAAATTAATTCTTAGGAGGTCATTGAGGGAAATCGCTAGCAATTTCCACTATATCTGCTCGGAATTGTAAAAGATGTATACGACCTCAATGAATGTCCAACATGCACTCTTCAGTTATAACTTCGTTTGCGGCGGGCACCTTCCCCTTCAGGAAGCATCAAACATCATCATTTTCTTCCCCTTCTCCGCTTCTGCATTTTTCTTCTTCTGCTGCCTTCGTATCTAGCACCAAATGAAATAACAACAATAAATCACCTCTTCAAAGCTTCAAAAATTGTTTCTTTGCGTATTCGATATCATGCACCCTTAATCATTGCTAGCAAGCACCCCAAATCGGGATGCAGTCAGCATTCGTTGCGTTTGTAGGCCATCAGGACACATCTTCTGCGTGCGGAATATTCCCCGAAAAAGGAAGCATAGGAGCCGTTCAGCGCGAGTGCCAGTACTAGTAGTACTAGTAGTAGCATTAGTAGGTGCTGACCTTTTAAGACTACTCCTAGTGGCCATTACCCCTCACGCCATCTCATCTCCTCCTCAATTCTCTCACATCGTCATACCTGCGCATACGAAGAAAGATTCGACGGTTTTTCATGACAAGATTAAATACGGAATGGCCTTGTTCGAGGAGCTCAGCCCCTCCTCTGTGGTTACTATAACTCTAACTTTATTGCTTGCCTATCTAATAGGCTGCGCAGTGTATCGCCTGTACCTTAGCCCCATCGCGTCTTTCCCAGGCCCCTCGTTGGCAGCTGTGACTTGGTTGTAAGTTCTGATTTCTAGATGTCGGAGTAGGCCCTGCGAAGGTAGGAGGGAACGATGAAGCTGACTGCGCGCTTCAGCTATGAGTTCTATTACGATGCAATATGTGGTGGCCGGTATATCTTCAAAGTCAAGGATATGCATAAGCGCTACGTGAGTAGGATGCCCTCGTTATGGATAAAACCCCATATATAGTGACACTACAATGCATAGGGGCCCATTGTTCGCATCAACCCCGAAGAGCTTCATATCGAGACTTCGGCCTTTTATGATGAGCTGTATGCTCCGGGCGGCAAGAAGAAGAGGAATTTGAATCCTCAGTTCAAACATCAATTTGGGGCGCCCGACAGTGCTTTGTCTACTATAGAACATGATTTACATCGCATGCGTCGTTCCGCATTGAGCCCATTCTTCTCAAAAGCAAGTGTACGTCGTTTGCAGCCTGTCATATGGGAAAAGGTCGACAAACTCCTTAAACGTCTAGATGGATTGAAAAATACGGGTCATCCAGTCCGCATGGATATTGCCTACGCTGCGTTCACCAATGGTGTGTACAACGGTGAAGATAATAAACCTCCATTCATCCAATATACTCACAGATGTAGACGTCATCATGCAGTACAGTTTCAACCACTCGCGCGAGAGGTTGCAAAAGAATGACTTTGGTGAGCCTGCTCAGGAGGCCGTTCTTGCTATGAGCAAAGTTGTACATTGGATGAAGCACTGTCACTGGCTCATTAATATGGGACAGCTTATTCCGCCATGGATTGTATCGTGGATTAGTCCAACGTGAGTATGATCAATGTTGTGTTCCTGCATGCGTATAGACACATCAAAAACTGGAGCTAATCTGCAATGCATAAAAGAGTTGCAAATGTGCTTGAGGATGAACGGGTACTACAATAGACATCTTTCATCCATATATTGAAAAGTATTGCTAATGAGCCGCAGTCCTTCGCCCGCGATAATGTGGTCCAGGTGCACCAGATCATGAACGATCAAGATACTGGGGCCGGAAAGCAGCCAAAAACCATTTTCCATGATCTGCTAGCAAATCCGAATCTTCCAGCCTCAGAAAAGAGTGTCGAACGGCTTGGCCAGGAAGCCAAGATACTCGTGGCCGGCGGAACTGAGACCACATCTTGGACACTATCGGTCATCACATACTATCTGCTGAGCCAACCGGATACTCTATCCCGTCTTCGTACCGAACTAATTGCCTCCATCCCCGATCCTACGGCACACGTCGGGATCGAGGTCTTGGAACACCTTCCCTACCTTACTGCCGTAATTCAGGAAGGTTTGCGGCTATCCTATGGCGCTGTTGCTCGGCTAGCACGTGTATCCCCAGATGAAGCAGTGATCTTTCACGACGACAAGCGTGGAAAGTACTGGGTAATTCCTCCGGGGACACCCATGAGCATGAACGCTGTTTTTGTGCATCATGATCCCGCCATCTTTCCAGAGCCAAGCAAGTTTCGTCCGGAACGGTGGATCGAGGCCGAAAAGGAGGGTAAAAGGCTGAATGGGTATCTAGTGTCCTTCACAAAGGGTTCCAGGTCGTGTTTGGGTATCAATCTGGCCTATGCAGAACTCTATATTTGCGTCTCCAAGCTGTTTAGGCTATATCACGGTGCGGATGATGAGACAGGTGCGAAAGGTGGGGGGTTGGAACTGTTTGAAACGTCCAACAAGGATGTTGAGTTTGCCACTGATATGTTCATTCCTGCTACCAGGAAGGGAAGTAAAGGCGTTAGGTTGCTTGTTAAGGGTGATTAACGATCATTACACACTGGGTACTGATGACGATTGGATGAAGACAGACGCAGCAGAGTGTATACTACCATGCTCTATTCAATACATCCAGCTTCCAGTACATAATTTAGCAACTTGCTTAATTTCACTCAAACCCAATAGCAACTAAGAGCTGTCCCCTCTCACCACATTGGATCTTGAAGTTGACCAATATCTTTTCTTCATCAGAACCCTACCATCAAAGGACAGGTTGTTTACAAATCATCTCTTACAAGCAACTAATATTGAGAATCACACATCAACCCCCAAAGCAGACTAGACTAACCTATCTGTCTCCCAAAGTAGCACTTCCATCATCCCATCTGTCTGATGCATATACAAACCGTAACACAAACCATACAACACATTTCCACCTGCCTCGTTGTGAGATATCAAATGTGGTACATATGTAGCACTCTCACTTAAATCGCTTATCTCCCAATAGCCAGTAAACAAAGTACCACAACCTCCTAGCTCTTCCCGTTGACTTGAAACACAACTTATAACCATTTTACCCTTTTACAGGAGTAAGAGGAAACCCAAACTTTTCACCCTGCTTTCATTCGGATATTTCCCATCTTTTCTCGCTTCATTTCATATTTCCTACGGTCTGGATATCCACGAAAAGTCGCCACAGTTCCCCACTTGCAGATGACCATCATGGCGCAGAACAGACGAGGGAGTTCAGCTGCGATGGGAAGGAAATGTTGAATGATGTCCGTGCTAATGGGCGTCTTGCCCATAATGATAATAATTATAATGATAATAATGATAATAATAATAATACTTTGTTTTAAGTATCTGCTGTATCTCGTGGATGTCGCGTGCCATTTGGCACGGATGTTTCGGGCTGGTTTGGAATTTGGCTAGTAGTACTACTGTACGATGTGGTTGGTTGGTGGATTCGTTCCTTGAGGTATTTTACTTATCTGTGGGGCTATTAAGTACTTACAGTAAATACTACTACTAATGCGGTCGCTGCTTCCTTCTGTTTGTTGTTGGAGATTTGGGTGTGATCCGGTATGGTGTTGTGCATGGTGCATAATTCGGGGATACTATTGATAGTTGGTTTAATTTGCTAGTAGCTGACTTTCGCCCCCCGGCATGCATATTGATTGATTACTTTACAGTTTGTCTTTTGATACTACGTATGATATATTTGTAGCCGTGTGATTAGAGTTGATGGTGTAGATGTAATAGTGGGTATCTTGGGCATAGAAACATGAACACGCCGGTGCAACATAATAGCAACCACTCCTTCTTTTTCCAGGTCAGACCTGGAATGTGGGAGAGGGAAATCATTTATCGACATCCATCGGATCGCCCGCGGTAGCCGCAACGGGTGTGGGTGTGGGTGTGGGCGTGGGTGTTGATGCGGACGCGGGTGCGGCTGCAGCTGAAGGGCCGGATGTAGATGGAGCAGGTGCCTCCGCGGCGGAAGTCTTTGCTTCGTTCTCTTTCTCTTTTTCTGTCTTGTCACTATTAGTGGTGGTGGCCTCGTTGCTAGCGGCTTTGTCGTCCTTTCCGCTCTCTTTAGTTTCTTCTTTTGCTTCAGGACCGCCGAGGAACCGCGCTGGTACTCCTCGCGCAGCGACTCCGACAGGTCCAACGTAGCATCCCAGCATGGGACTCCAACTGTACTTTTGTGCCACCGTGTGTCGGATTTCGTTGTAAGCATGTGAGTTTGCGAAGGGCAGGGAGGTTTCGGGATCCCGATAGCGCGAGGGTAGTGATGTAATAACGCAGAGGGATGAAGAGATTTCTGTTTTGCGGTGTTAGCATGTCCAATGTGTTCGTGCATGCAGTGGGGGAATAGGTGCATTGCATACTGGTTAGCCTAGGAGGTTTTTTGGCGTTGAAGTAGATACTGAACTCGCGGCTTTGGGCGGTCTTGTCATCAAAGTTCTCCAACACCGTAAGGGTTCGTCCTGTTTGCTCGACAACCTGAGGTACCTCTGGAACTTGCGGTTGTGGGGTTTCCCCATTCGCAACAGCTGGCTGGTCTGTATGCACCTCCGGAGCCTCTTGGCCCGGTTGTGCTGGATTGGGCGTCTCCTTCTGCGGGTTAATCTGCGAAGGGGCGGCATTTGCATCTGGTACTGTGGTAGGGGATAGCTCCTGCTGCACCGTGGCAGGTTCAGACACAGGTTCAGCGGCTGTGGTTGGTTCAGGAGCTGTTTCCTTCGATGCATCATCGGACTTTGCCGCCGCAGTTGGTGGACCTTGGTCAGGCTGCTTTTCGGAGTCTAACGTAGGCTTCTCGCCAGACTCCTGCGACGTAGGCTGTTGAGCTTCGGCTGCGTGTACAGCGTCGTCTTTTTGTTGTAAATCTGGCTTATCATCAGACTTGCTCTCCTCCGGAGCTGCATCTGGAGCCTTGGTCTCGGTGGCTTCCTCTTTCTTTTCAGCTTCAATTATTGATGAACCAGAGCCTGGTGCTGCTTCTGTAGCCGACTCGTCGTTAACTGCATCTGTGGCAGGCTGCACAGGATCAGCAGCAGCAGCAGCCGGAGTAGGGGCAGCAGCAGTAGCCTCTGTGTTCACATGAGAGGGGGTGGGTTCCTCCATTGGTGTATCGGTGGGTGCTTCCTTTGGCGTAGCAGCGGGTGCCTCCACTGGTGCATCAGCGGGTTTCTCTTGGGATATTGCGCCATTGGTCTGAGTGGGCTCAGAGCTTGTTTGTTGCTGTTCAGGGTCTTGGTTCGGCTTTGCAGGTTCTGCATCGCCGGGTGTTTGTGGTAGCGCAGAACCCTCAGTCTGGGTGGGAGGAGGGGCTGTTTGCGACGTGGCAGAACCAGCAACAGTAGAGTCCTCGGTCGGTTTTTGCTCTATCACATTTTTGTTTTCTTTGTCCGTCTTCTTGCTTTTCTTGCGTGTAGTGTCCTCCTTCTCAGGTTTTGCCGTAACGTCAACTTTGCCAATGCGCGTTAAGCGACCATTAACCCAGGTTGCTATGCCACTCCAGTATGACATGACCGGGCCTTCAAGGCGGCGGTTCTGAAGGGCTTCAATTTTGGCACGCCTCTCTTCAGCCTTCCTTTTTTCCATTTCCTCCCATCGATTTAGACTCTTGCTGTTATGCCTCTCCACCCTTTCTGCTTCTGCAAGACGCTCGGCTTGCGTCATCTCCTTCGGTTTGAACTGGGCCTTTCTTTTAGCTGCTTCCTCCATGGTGGCGATGAGACGGATGCGCTTTTCTTCGCTGTCCTTCAGGCGTGCATGCGTAAGTTCCTTGTTCTGCATAGTCTGGCGACGAGAGGATGATCGCGTGGGCCCTTCCTCCGGCGTAGGGATCCATGAGATACGTTCCGATTTCTTTTTGGGGCGAGGAGCGGGCACTGCAGACACAGCAGTAGGATCGATTTTGACCTTCTTGCTGGCTATCTTGAATCGAAGGTCTTCTCGAGCTCTCTTTTTCTTCTTTTCTTGTCGCTCCTCCTTCTGTATCTGTTGCTCCCCCTCCATGTCGTCAGCTCGAGACTCGGGTCCTTGATCATCCTCATCATCGGACGAAGACTCGAAGCGCATATCATCCTCTTCGCCCCCTTCTTCCTCCACATCCATCGCAAACTCGTTGTCATCCTCCACTTCCTCGAACAAGAGCGCAAGGTCATCGTCTGCGGCGGCATCCAGGAGGGCTGACATATGAAGGCCGGCTGTGCTTCGCTTCGCACGCCCCTGAATGAGGGACTCGACTGGCGCCTCCTCCACTGAGGAGGGGCTTTCATGATCATCTGCCATTGTTCGTGGGGACAGTTGTTGATTCAAAGTCGGCAAGTAAGGAACATTAATCGTTTATCGGAAGCCGACCGTAAAATCACGATAAAACGCGAGTCCGGTCGGGCGCGTATGAGATCGGCCAAGCGTGATACTTTGTGGTAAAATTGTTCATTTATTTCATTCTAAAAGAGTAACGTAAGACAGTTAATCTTCAAATACCACTAATGTGTGGAGAGCAGAAAGGGAGCAAAAAGGGAGTTGAGTCCAAATTATTGGAGACTTAATTGTTGCACCGGAGCTCTGGCAAGGCGGTGCCGGAATTCATTGCAGATACAGCGGAGGGCAGTGGCGGGTGTTAAATCGATGCCTCAGGTGTGTATACAAAGTCACGTGGTTTGTCTATGAGATAATGGGATGCAGAACCCAGATGTCACCCCAATAATTGAGATGGAATACTTCCAATTCACGTAGCAGGAAACTTTGTATGGGCTTAGAAACCCAAACTACCTGATACGATATAGCATGAGGGACATCCCGAGTCTTCCGGACAGGGACCGCAAGCATCCAACCCGACCCGAGAATACTCTGGGTCAGGTACCGCGTTGCACAAGTTCCTGTAAGTAACAGTAGCTGCAGGAATATAGGCTTGAAATAAGAAATGTGAAAACCATATCCATAGTAGCCAGTAGTCTGGGCCCCGCATAGCTAACTGTCTTACCGCCATGATTGATTAGCTTGCTGTATGTCATGACGGATCCTCAAGGGATGTGGCACGGTTTACTCAAGAAGTACTCCGTCGTACAGACTACAGGCAGCGTTCCTGCATAAGAGTTCCGCCCATGACTTCACATCTTGAAAGAGTCCACTTGAAATATCCATCCCTTCACAGCAGAATGTCTTCATCCCTTGCATTATGGCTTTCATTGAAACCACGAGAGGGATTTGACATGTTTGCTCCAGGTTTAGTATCTACTGTCGTACTCCGTAGTACCCGATATATATTCCGTAATCATGACAGATGTGGCTCCGTTAAGTTCGAGTATAAGTAAAGCTGGCAGCAGAATTCATGAAATTGAAAGAAACTGACTGTGGAGTGTTGAATCAAACAGCTTTTCCAGCTATGCGCCGATCCATTTAACATCATGAAAAGGCAGGTCATCCGACAGGCATACTTACTCATTGCCACCATCGAGGGGGGAAAGAAAAGAGGTGATCAATGTCAAAACACATGACGGACGGTGGAATGCGGGGTCTTAGGACGTTTCAGAGTGCCAATCACCCAGAACTGGGTCGCATCCCTCCCCCGTTTCAGCTTCGACAAGGATGTCGAAAAGGCCATTGGTACGCCTTTCATTGCCGTATGCGTGAAGGTTTGATCCGGATTGGGTGTAGACAGAGGTGCCGCAATAATGTATATGGATTCACCTTGGTTTCAAATTGTAGTCTACTTTATCGCTCTGCACTGTGACCTTAGTCCCGAATAAACTGTCATTTACAGTGACCCCCAGGAATGAAACTGAATTATTGAACATTCCAAAACCAAGAAAGTAGTCTTGTAAGGCTGTCGGTCATTAACTGTTGATGCTATCCAAAAGCATCGACTCCACCCGGGCCTGATCTCTTTCCGCTTTTAGAATTGTACACCTTTTAGTGAGCGAAATTAGGTGGGAACTCTACTCAGTATTCGGTGAGAGCAAGACCATAAGATAATATTATTACTGAGCAATATGTACATCTACGTGATCTATAAGACAAAATATTGAACGATGTAGTAAGCACTATGGAAGTAAACCGACAATTATCAATTATCGCTGACAAGAGACTATTGCGAAGAGAGCCGATCATGGAATTGTGGAAGGCTGAGGGTGGAAAATGCGCTATTTAGGAGCTTCTCGAAAATCGGAATTAGGAGGGGGATCGATCGATGAACCGAACGAACAGGCCTGACCCTCTCTATTTTCCCCCGGGGGTTCGAGCAAAAGCAGCAGGAAATAATGGTTGATCGCCAGCTGGGCAGTGGGCACGAGCACACCAAGGGATGAAGATGGGGATGAAGGATGAACAGGGAAGGATCCTTCACCAATGTAAGAATCAAGAAAAGACCATCAGAGTCAGAAAATTAAGACAATTTCTTTATTTTTTAATTTCATGCACTTTACAGGCACACTTCTCTCGAGTAATAAAAAAAAATAAGTAGGGAATGGGTGAACCCGACCGGCCAACCAGACGAGTGGATATGACATGCCCCCCCCGGGATCCGGCAAACCTGAGCTCCCCAACTGAGTAAACTAACCGCCTTCCTCCTTCTCTCTACTCGAAGTCTCTTTTCCACCTTTTACCTTTTCCCTCCGCGCCGGTGCAGCAGCTCTACTCTCTTCCTTCTTCACCAAACATCCACCGCCATCTATTCTTCCTTCTTACGCTTCCTCCTTTCATGCACCCCTTTCCTGTCTTACTCTCCCATTTACCTCCCCTTCCCTTTTCCCCCCCAATCTCTTCTCTTTTGAGTAATCCTTCAATTCAGTATCCCTTTTAGTATCGTCCCATCGTCGGTCTTTTCCATTCTTGTATCTTTTTCTGGCTTCTGCCCGAAGCCGCGCAATTTATTCCAGCCACCCTAAAAGAGTCCAGCGACCCTTTTCGGCTTCCCTTCCACCCACCACCACCACCCCCGTACATCACGACCTCCGCGTTCCTTTCTTTCGCTCTTCCCACCCCCTCGCTCGACAATTTTCCCATTCAATCTCCTCGTGTCCTTGCGGTCATTTCGAGCGGGTCCTTGCGGGTTAGCGATATTTTTGAACACTCGGGACCTAATCATTGCGGTGGATCGTGGCAATCGAATCTGGCCACTAGTCCAAAGATTATCTTTACTACCCAGGGTGACAAAGCTGACTGGGCCTTACGCTTAACGGACAACTATTGACAACCACTTCATCGATCTCGCTGTCTCTCCTGTTTCCTGAGCATCCGTGCTCGTTCAAGCTTACGTATTCTTTCGGACCCAGTCCTCCGTCAACCCCGCCACGAGCACATCCACACACCGGCTGGACGCACAGAACGCTGGCTTCCTCGAGCGTCGAACTTTACGTTCATTGATCAATCGTTTCAGCCTTGATTGCTCCGGTGCTCCCCATTGGCATCGGCTCTCAATCTTCGACGTTTGGTTCTCAACACACTGAACTGACACATGACCCTCGCGAGACAATCCTCCGATTGAGCAGCATCTTTACCGATTCGACAACTGCATATCATTACTTGTATTCATACACAAGGTGTCCGGTGTCCGCCTTCGTTAGAGGTGGAGGGAAATAATTCATAATGCTCCCTGTTTCACGACCGGATGGTCATATGAACCTCAATTATATTCCGACCACTCAACCAATGTCGGGAACTAGCACAGGGCGTAGCTCTCCCAGTGATCTCTCTGGATCTGCTGCCATCAAGTCGCCGTTCGGCCCATCGAATGGTCTGAATGGAGCCGCAGGCGCAATTGGCGGCGCGAGGCTAGGGGCTGGATCCCCTTCTCATGAACTTGGGGCTCGCTTGTACTCTAAACGGTAAGCACCCTAGTTATCTCGATGCGCTTATTTCGTTTCTTGCAGACTAATGCCTGTCATTTTTCCCACATTAGAGCGCGAGAGATCCAGGCAGAGGAAGGCGTTTCGCCCAGTATCTGGGGCCCGCCGACTAGCGGTCATTCCACCCCTCTTCGTGAGAACATCCCGGAGTCTCCAAGCCAAGAAGGATTTCCAGATCTGGTGCCTACATCCAGCGGCTCCATCAATAGCCCTGGCCGGAGAGCAAGAGCTGGGACTGTTCCTTCCAGATTTTCGCCCGTCGGTGCATTGAATGAGGTGAATCTTCAACAACCATATATGCCTCAAACCTCCCGCCCTACGCCGTCAACTAGCCCTTTCCGCCCATCCGGCGTTTCCGGTATCGACACAGGCACAAAGACCGCAACTGCCCCTGGTGGGAGCAGCGCGGGGTCCCTTTCGCGTCTCCGAGCAGGCTCTATGCCCCAGAGAGCAAACTTTTTGGGTTCTTCTGGCCCATTTGGACCGTCCTTGTTCTCTACTAGCTGGGCAACCGGACGTGAGCGCGCGACAACACTGACAAGCATTCGCTCTTCTGAAGGACCTGCCTCTCCCAGCCAGTCGTCATTCTCAAGGGACGGGCTTGCAGATACCGATGTGAAAACGCTAGACTACTTGGGCTTGGCGGAGACACCGCAACAGGCACGAGCTACGCTTGTGCGGCCTGATGTTAATATGCTCCTTCAACAGCAGCAGCAGCAGCAACAGCAACAGCAGCAGCAGCAACAGCAGTCCTCTTTGCCCCCTTTGCTGGCGGAACTGGCCATGATGAAGAATAACAGCCGTATCCGATCGTATTCGGTGAACGCGAAAGAGAAGTACGCTGATGACGAGGACCTGGAGTATGAGAGCCGCTACTCGCAACTTCCCTCTGGCACCGTTACTCCTTCTGCGGCTGCAACAGCAGCCCAGTTGGCCGCAACCCAGGCTCAGATTCATCAGCACAACCTTGCTGTACAGGCATTCGCCAACCACGCATCTGCCAGCCGACCTCGTGCCAGGACGGCTGGAATCTTGGAGGCCCCTCCCCAGCGCTCGTCAATCCGCAATTACCTCGCTACTCCTTCGCGTCTCGAGAACAGCTTTAGCGCTGCTGACCTCAACATCGCGGAAGGCGGAGAATATGATGAGCTGTCGGAAGCTGTTCAGCTCATGCATCTTGGTGGAAGTGGTGCGCCTAACGTGGGAATGCGGCAAACGGGAGACTTGGCAGACGAGAACAATCAGGATGGCCCTACTCGTGCTCTCTGGATTGGCAGTATTCCTGTCTCCACCACAGTCACGTCTTTGGAGGCGATCTTCAGCCTGTACGGCAAAATCGAGTCTACTCGCGTTCTGACCCACAAGAACTGTGGCTTTGTCAACTATGAGCGCATTGAGAGTGCCATTCAGGCCAAGTCACTTCTCAACGGAAAGGAGATCTTCCCTGGCGCTGGCCCTGTCCGGATCGGATATGCTAAAGTACCTGGCACCTCTGCTTCTGGCACGCCCGGTGTCAATGGAGCCCAGTCTTCTCCGACTCCTGATCCGAGCATGAACGGACCTGATGGTATTGTGAGACCGGAGAGCGGCACCAGCATTCCGCATATACCTTCTCTTCCCGAGCTGCAGCCGGAAATGGCACAAATCGTCACCGAGTTCGGGGCCACGGAAGACGATGCTCACAATATCAGCGCTAGCATCCATCGCGCAATTGCCTTTGATGCATTTGAAGATGAGATTCCCCCGATCGCCGAGCCAAGCCAAACTAGGATGTTCGACGCACCGCGACTCCGTGATATCCGCAAGAGGATCGATAATGGAGCTTGCTCAGTCCAGGAGATTGAGGAAACCGCCGTTGCGATGCTGCCGGAAATCGCAGAGCTCGCGTCGGATTATCTCGGAAACACTGTCGTCCAGAAGCTCTTCGAGTTTTGCTCGGAATCCACCAAGGAGCAGATGCTCGGACCCATTGCTCCTCACCTTGCTGAAATTGGTGTCCACAAGAACGGAACCTGGGCCGCACAGAAGATCATTGATGTGGCCAAGACTCCGAACCAGATGCAGATGATTGTTGATGCTCTGAGGCCATACACCGTTCCGTTATTCCTTGACCAGTACGGCAACTATGTTCTCCAGTGCTGCCTGCGTTTTGGCGCCCCATTCAATGATTTCATCTTCGAGACGATGCTCAGTCGGATGTGGGAGATCGCCCAGGGCCGCTTCGGTGCTCGGGCCATGCGAGCATGCCTTGAAAGCCACCACGCCTCGAAGGACCAGCAACGCATGCTTGCCTCAGCCATTGCTCTCCACAGCGTACAGCTTGCGACGAATGCCAACGGGGCTCTGTTGCTGACATGGTTCTTGGATACCTGCACTTTCCCCCGCCGTCGCACCGTGCTTGCACCGCGCCTGGTCCCTCATCTCGTGCACCTGTGCACCCACAAGGTCGCCTACCTGACCGTCTTGAAGGTGATCAACCAGCGCAACGAGCCAGATGCCCGTGAGATAGTGTTGAAGGCTCTCTTTTTCAGCCCGGGCGACGAGGTATTGGAGAAGATCTTGAGCGACCAGACATCGGGCGCGACACTGATCTTCAAGGTTCTTACCACACCATTCTTTGATGAGTCTATGCGCGCCGAGGTGGTGAAGAACGTCTCCAAGGTCCTCACTAAGCTGAAGGCAACTCCCAGTCAAGGCTACAAGCGCTTGATGGACGAAGTTGGCTTGTCATCTCGGGGAGGTGCTCGCGACAATCACCATGGACGTGATCATGTTTCCAACTCGGACAAGCAACAGCATCGCCCAACCTCCCGGCAGGCGGCGTCAAACTACGGCTCCCAGCAGTCCATGGAGCGTCAATATGGTGCGCAGTTTCCTACCATGCTAGGCCCAGGTCTGGATGCGACCAGGCCCGTTGCATCCGAGCAGCAGCCCAACCCCGCTCCTTTTGACCCATACAGTATCAATGGAATGAACAGCATTGGTTCTGCTGGTGGTCTCAGTCCTCTTAACGGGGTTGGTGGAGTTGGCGTTAATGGTACCGGCTTCGGCCAGGAGCCCTTGGCGCCTCTGACCCAGCAACAACTGCAGTATCAGGCCTACCTGGCTGCACAGTCCCGGGGCCTCTCTCCCTCGGGACTATACCCAAGCCTCGGAAATTCCAGCTTTGGATACCCGGCTGGAGCACCTTCGGCTGACAGTCTTCGGGCTCTGCAGACCCCGGGAGTGCCCTTGGCTGGCGGTCCTGGCCAGATGAACTCCAACCCTATGATGAACCAACCGACTTTTGCCCCCCAGCAATTCAGCCCTGTTACGAACTCCGCTCAGATGTATCAGTATCCTACTCAGTTCTATTCCCAAGCGCAGCCAGCTCAGACACAGTCTGCGGGTGGACGACGTGGCCGTGTGAGTCATCCCCAGCATATGTGAGAGCCTACGGCTTGCCTGCGCGACCGACGCTAATGCGGATTGATCTCCAGCATTGAGGCTTTTTTATAACTCTTTAATTCGCCATTGACTTCAACCTGATGTATAAAGTTTTGCCCTTACCCTTTTTTCGATTTCCGGGATACAGAGAGTAGTATGGCTATAACGAAATGACCCTTGTCACACCTAGACCGACGCTGGATCGTCTTGGAAACGGAGGAAGGAGGAACGAGATGAGAAAAAAGTGTTGTGAATTTTTGTCCATTTGAGAGCATAGTGGTGTTGCCTTTGTCATGTCAATAAGCATTTAAGTGATTTCTGCCCCTTGTGGCTTGGTTATATGTTTTTGTTTGCTATTATTCTGTTGGATATGAGAACAGATGGTATTGTTTATTCTTATTATTCGGTTACTCAAGGAGTGGATGGTCTAGCCAAGCGGATGCAACCGATGGCCTGCGTTTGCATGATGATGAGTCCGGCTGTATTAGCCACTGAGCTGTGCTCCACTGGTTGTGGCTGGAATCACACATTACAAGCTTACAGCGAGAGACTAGTTACAGGGGTAATCAATGTTCAAGCCATGGGTATATTGCAATAATTGTTGTAGCTATCGATAGAAAGCCGCCAGTGTCCCTAGCATATAGTCCAATACCACAAACACTAAAACTCACCTTCCAATTTCATTTTCCCTCTCCCAACCTTCGAACCGTCACAATGCCACCCTAAGTCAGAACACACATTATTCCAAGTAATCCCTCGGTTTGACCCGGGCAGACCATGGCCATCAAGTCTCCAATACTCTATGAAAACCCCAGTGCCACCGCCTTTGTGATCGATATTCCCAGCTCCATCGCGCAGACACAAGCGCTTCCAGGACAGACGCCTCCGCCATCACGACCCCATCTAGCCTCTTCTACGCTGGGATCCTACCATGGAGAAAGAACTCTTTTATCTTCCGACCCCCTGAGGGAACCTTATCCAACCTTAACAGAGCCCAAGACCGAGGCCGCACGGGCAAGGGTTCTAGAGAGAATTCCGGTTGCCGAAAGGCGATATCACTCCGAGATCATCGAGCCGCTGGTGGTTGAAAAGCTGGCGGAGCTCAAAGGAGCACTTGAAAATGAATTTGAGTGGTGCCTGCCTCGCAGCCTCAAAGAAAACGATGCACCAGACAGTCCAGAAGATCCAGCTCAGGGTGAACAGATCCAATTACTGGGGAAGAAGAGGAAACGGCAACGCAACACTACTACCACATGTTCATGTTCATGTCTAAATCCAGAGTTTGGCTCTATCCACTCTAATAGATCTCCTACTCGCAGCGATCCTCCATTGATCCTAGCACCTGGAGAAAACACCTTCGCATCCATCTCAGAGCTTTCCAACAACCTGGTCAAAAACACCTCCATCGAGCCGGCTACAGTGAAGATACGCTGTCAATCAATATCAACAACAGAGGCATCAAATAATGATAGCACATACTACAACTACCATTCATTTCACATCCCCCCATCATCCCACTTCCTCCGCTGCACCATCCCCATCTCCGAACCTATCCACAAGTCATCATCACAGCCATTACTTCCCGGCCTACCACACGACCAGAAATTCAATCTTATCTTCCTCGACCCACCGTGGACGAACCGCTCCGTGCGGCGCAGTGGGCATTACCAAACGCAGTTCTATAAAGGATGGGATCTGCTCACGGAACGTATATGTGGTATCTTACGGGGGTATCTACAGTATGATGTCTCTGATAGAGGAGAAGGCGCTCAGATACATGAAAGCAACAAGGGCCCTGTTGCAGCCATCTGGATCACTAATTCCGCGAAGGCGCGGAAAACAGCCTATGAGGCCATTCGGGGTGCTGGGCTTGAGGTCTGTGAGGAGTGGGTTTGGTGCAAGGTCACGATGGATGGGAGGCCGATTGTGGAGGTGGGTGGGTTGTGGAGGAAGCCGTATGAGGTTCTTGTTATAGGAAAGGTGCCCAGTTCTTGTGGGAATGGGGGTATTGTGAGAAGGGTTATTGCTGCTGTTCCGGATGTGCATTCTCGGAAGCCGAATCTGAAGGAATTGTTTGAGAGGATGTTCTTTAGCTCTGGTGATACAGGGGGTTGTGTGCCATATGCTGCTTTGGAGGTCTTTGCGCGAAATCTGACTGCTGGGTGGTGGGCTTGTGGGGATGATGTTCTGAAGTTCAATTTTGAGGAATGGTGGGTTGATTGATAGAAGATAATGACATGTGAATGTGAGCTTGATATACTCATACAACAACCATCCCCAATATCATCTACCATATGGTAACTGGGTATACAACAACCACATCAACTTTACACAACTTAATCAAAAACCTCCCCCAAACTAACCAGACTAAACCTCAAATCCCCCTCTCCACTCCCACTCCCCTTCTCCACCTCCAAAAACCTCCTAACCCCCAACTGCAACGCCCTCTCACTCAACGCATCCTCCTCCTCCCCAAGCACCCCCCTAACCAGCGGTCCCTTCCTCCGCCCATCCAACTCCCAAAGCGTGCCATCCTCCCCCTTCACAAACGCCACGAAATGCAAATCCACCGAGTCTTCCGCCGCCGGCGCATCCGTATCTCCCAATCTCGCTGCATCCGCATGCGCACTCTCCAACGCCTTACTATCATACAGCAGATCCGCGCGCTGGATCGGCCCCAGTCCCTCTGCTTCCTTCAGCAGGTTATCTAGGTCCGAGCCGGGGGTGATGTGCTTCCGCGGCGTGCCGTTCGATACGGCGTGCAGGAGCCCGATGAGTCCGCACGCGTTGCGGATCGTTTGCTTGAACCACATGACGGGTTCGTTGGCCCCGGAGCCCGTGTATTCGGGGAGGGGCGCGTCTTCGGTACGTCGGGTTGCTTCGTAGGCTGCTGAGACGGGGAAGACGAGGAGGAGGGCGTAGGACGGGCGGGGGATGAAGGCGAGGAGGTCTGGGCTGTCGATTGACCAGACGTCTGTGAAGCCTAGGGTTGGGGAGAGGCCGAGTTGGCGGACGAGGTGGGTCATTACTTCGGGGTTGTTTTCTGGGTATATTGGGTCAGCTGGGGTGGGTGGGTGTGGTGTGGTGGTGTTTGAAGGGGGGTAATACCGAGGGGCACGAAGGCCTTGTTAGTTTGAGGGGCGTCTGCTGTGTCGGTCATCTTGAGGGTGTGGTGGATTGTATGTAGTGGTGAGGTTTGTTGTTGAGAAGAGGAAATGTTGACTGTGTGTGAGGGGTGAAGGAGAAGTGTAGGAAAGTTTGCGATGGATGGCGGCGCCGTGAGGGGTTGACGTCGTTGGTGTTGCGGGGTCGATCGAGGGAAAGTTAGTTCCGCTCCGATATAGTAAGTAGTTTATAGATTAGATCTACGTCGACAATGGAAGTATGTGCTTGCTTACAGCGCTACTTAAATATATGCTTGGTTTAATGGAGTTTATAAAAAGAGTAATTGTTGTAGCATCGTAACTCATCACTTTCTAGTCTAGTATACTCTAACAATTCGGCAGCGGCTTCTCGCCCCGCTTCAAAGGCCCAAACACATTCGACCAGAGTTCACTGGCTTCACCCAGGAAATAAGTCAAGCTGACATCTGCCATCCCAGTTTCTTCGTCTCCATCCAGTGTCTCCAGTTGGGAGATGATGTTCTCCAGCCCAAACGCCTTTCCTGTCGCCTGAGTTGCACCCGCCTCGAGCATGACATTGACGACATGCACATGGAAATGATAATACGTCGGTTGATCTATACAGCACATCCACATCAGTAATCAGATACCACAAAACCCAAAGCACAGGGAAGGAAACTTACAATGCACATAAAGCTTCAACTGATCCGTCTCCAACTGGGGATACACCCTAACCGTCTCCTCCAACAGCCTCTCCCTCAGATACTTCAGCCAAGGAATATGCTTCTTCTTCAGATCCCTCAAGGACCAGATATCCCTCCTCATGACTAGTGCCAACAAATGCAACGACCCCATCGTCTTCCGATCCCAGTTCAAGTCCGGCAACACCAAGAAACCTCCCTCCTCAATTCCATCAGGTCCCTTCTCCCGAAGAATCACATCCTCTTGCTCCGTGCGGCCCTCAAGAATATTAAATACCCAGTTCAGTCGTCCTTCCTCACGCTTCGCGCTCATATACGGACGGATAGAGTCCCGGTAGATCTCCGGTGTCTCGGTGACCATGCGTATAACCTGCTCCGAGTATTTCTTGATGTGTGACTCCGTGCAGGGCCAGATGAGGTTGATCTTGAGGTCCGGGGGTTGTTGGCTTCCTGGTGCGGAGTGCGAAGAGGCTAGGTACCAACGGTAGATGTCGTTGTCGCCAAGGTTGTTGACGTCGGTGATGGCGGCATGGAAGGCCTGGAGGGCTTCAGGAGTTTCGGTTGCAAAGGCGGCGCGTTCAGCGATTAGGATGCCTTGCTGGTTGTCGATGGTACCCAGGATAGCGATGCGGCGGCCACTTTGGTCTTTGGGGGTTGGGTTAGTTATGTTGCTTGGAATGGTCTTGTCTGGATGTGCAGGGAGGGGTGATGGAGGGGCTGGCTGGCTGGTGGTAGGGTTGCTTGCCTTGTTTGAGAAGTCTGCTCACCTCGAATTTCGAGATGAGCGCCTCCGGCGAGACCTTCGCATCGTTAGTGGACATTGTGAGGGGCCTGTTGAAGATCAGGGGTGTCTATAGAAGTTGTTGTAGAGCGTTGACCCTACCCCAGATATTTGTTCTGACGGCAGAATCTTGAGGGCGGTCAGGCTTATCTAAATGGATTCTCTATCGGATTGATCGTGGTATTGGCTTGGCTCTAGCAGCTATCTAAATGGTTGTGGTTACAGAACTTCTTCCGTTGGGTATCTCTGGTCATGCGCAGCTAGCCTGCTGCTCCATTTCCTGTCCTTGAATCGTAGCCTTCCGGCGAGATCGCAGTCTGCATAAAGCGACTCGGAGCTTGGACGTCCCTTCCACCTATGGCCTGCCGCTAGTGTCCCGGCTCTAGCATAGTCCTTTTCCGTATATGGCTGATTGCAGTAGATAGGTGGTGTAACTTCGTGTATGGCGATAGGGACG